TTTACATATATGTATTTTTTACAACATTAAATATATATATACACTTACCTGCAATTTTGATACTTGTAGTAAAATAAAACATTAAATTACTTTATTATTAACTGAAATTAGAAGTGAAACAATTAAGATTAGCATCGCGCGCGATGACGATTTTCATTGAGTTTTTACGTATTTATGCTTGTTCTTCACCAAATTCATCATTGGACACAAATTTTTGTTTAAAAATTTATTTTTAACCTTAATTGGCATGTGTACTTCAAAGTTCTAATCATCAATATTTTTTTTCTCACTTCGAAAATAGGAGTTTTGAGCCGCTAAATTCACATTCTGGACCACTGTGCGCCGCGCGCCGTCCGCGACCGACTCCTGCGCCGCGAACACCCAAGCCTCCGCTGCACGAGGCCGACCGGGAATCCGCGCACCGCGTTACCACGTTACCGCGTTACCGTCACGATCACTCATCACATTTCACGCTCATCACACATCTCACCGCACCACATTGTACATATACATATCATGTCATCCCGCGTCGTTACGTCCGTCCGTCCGTCCGTCCGTCCGTCCGTTTCGCGACCGCGTGAATTAGATTAAGTTGTAGATATATATAGTGTATCCACGTTCTTTTCTATAAACATATTCTTTTGTCAATCTTGTCACCGTAAATCAGTGAGTCGAGTGCTTTCACCTAATCCCTCGAACCCGGCCACCGGCGAGCAAAGTCCGCGAGGAAATCGATTGGGCAATCGTTTCAAAAGTCTGGGACAATTTAGAATTTCTCAGTATATCTCAAATAAAGTAGGTGTGCTGTGTGGGTTACGTTCAAAAATAATTTTTAACATTTAATAAAAATATGTTATGTACAAGTGTGTGTATAATTATGTTGCACAAATTGCAAGAAAGAATTGTCAGAGCCAAAGGATCACCGCTATCCCATCCGATCATCGAGGTTACGCAACGTTGAGTGTGGTTAAAACTTGGATGGGTGACCGCGACCTTACCGTTCTTCACACCCAGCCGCGAAAATGATGTTAATTTCTGTAATCTTTAAAGAATTTGTTCATTAATTTTTTTCATTTATTAAATGTACGTCATTTTGACGCCACCTTGTTAGCGGGGG